AGCAACTTCGAAATTCGAGGCTAAATTTTTCGTTTACCAACCCTCTTTCGGACTCTTACGGTGTTCGTAACTTGCAGGGAAAATGTCCGAATTAGATTCTCCACTTACCCCATGGGGAAACAGAAGGAGATGGGAAACGCGTGCATTTGCGACGAGATCTCCGTCGTATTCGTAAATATATTCGATTACGGTGGCGTCGGTGTTCGTCGAGCGGTAAGAGCCCGCACAGTTAGAGCAGCAATCGAGCAACTCTCATGCTGAATGATCGATGACTCCATTGTGCGGGGTTTCCCATGTCCCTGGTACGATTTCGTACGAGCAGCGTACAAAAAGCAGGGCGCCATTTCGAAAATGGGCGGAATTATGGAAAAATTCGGGGTGGAAGATCGATCGGCTCGTCCGCGCTGAGATTTCGTTCGCGTGCAATCCGATACCCCTTGAATTTAGATCTTTAGACTCGACGACAGTCGCAATGACAGTGTTCGAGAAAACCATCTGGACGACGTTCGCGCGAGGATATCCAGTTCAAAACACCGGACGAATATTCTTCAACGATCTACCAAGAATCAACATTCTCAAGAATCTTTTCGATTTTTATCGACTACGCTTTATCGTTGATTGAAAACAAATTCAACGATACGTTGGAACATTTCAAGAACGATAAGACTTTATGCGCGATAAGGCTTCGAGAAAAGAGTTCTCGAGTCGTCGATGGGTTTTTCTATGAATTTCTCGTTTAATTTCTGAAGTTTGCGCAGAGCTGGTGAGATATTTTGCAGCTTCGATGCTTCGTTCACGATCAATTGACACGGGTGGCCAGAGGGGGAGAGAGGAGAGGCAGAAATCCGTGGTCCACTTTCAAGAGACACGTCGAGGACGATAAATAGGAGCTAAACAACGGTTACTTTCGTTGGAAATTCGGGCGGAGCACAGGTTTGACGCGGGAAGAAGCGTGAGGTCTCTGTTCCTCGAGGGAACACCTTCAGCTTCTTCGTAAAAATTCCGCCCATCGATGCCTTTCCTCCCTTTATTTCGCCCGGTTCCTCGACTCCTACGTTTTCCTCGCAGAATAGAGACGACCTTTCGCTGGCAGCACGCTATCTATCCTTTATAAAGACGAACGTTTCGCCGGGAATCGTCCGTTCTCCCGCTGAATAGACAGCTGTCTGTCCATCAGCAACCACCCGCCGGATTGTTGTGACTGGATGCTTGACTGACAAGAACCAGACACTAAGGGCGACGCTTAAAACGCGACACTCTCGGTTGACCCACCGTAATTATTGTCGTTCGTTCTTTAAATGAAACGTCTTGGTGGCCGATTGACGCGTCGGGCTCGAAAGATTCTCAACCGAAGTCAACTGCCGTGCTCCCATCGCCAATCACACGGAATTTATCGAACAAATATTTGTCGACGAGAAGGATCCACTGATACGCATAACCGACGAAATATTTTCTTAATAACGTCTCTATCTCTCTTGAAAGTGCTCCACAGTTTCGTCGAAGAAAAATCTACGAGGAATATCTTCGGCGAGTAAGGATAGGCCCTTAAAAACGAGGACGGTTGCGTCGGGCACAAAACGAACGAGAAAAGGTTGTTTTTATCTCGGTTAAAGATGCCCGTCCAGCGTGCTCGTCTCTCCGTGAAAATTAAACAAGTAGCGGATGACGTTTTGCAGAATCCATCTTCGGCCCGGAGGGGAGAGATTCGACGTTAACGGAGGATCGATTCGGATCTCCTACGGATCTTGTCTCTGGCCGGCGAAGTGGCGTTGGGCTCTTTGGCCCGAGATTACGGTTTCGAGAGTCGGTCGCTCGATTGTCGCCCGATGAGCCGTGTGATTCCCCCGTCCAAACACCCGGTTAGTGACTTTTTAATGGAATTTCCCCGGGATCAGAGGAGCAAATTCGAGTTTAGCCGAGTCTAATGTCGGGATAAATATCAGCGCTCGGCTTTCTTTGCCAGTGCCACCCTCCGTGGTACACGCGTAAACTTTGCTCCGGGCTAATCCTCTTAAACAATTACAAAACCAGTCGATCGGTCTGGTACCTATCTTGTCGTGGCGCCACGCTGGGTTTTGACGTGGGATGAGGCACCTGCATTGTCATGCTAAGCCGCGCGGTCGCCTTGCTGCAGTTCCCTTTTATCTGCGACCAACAACATCTCGTCGTCTTACTTCCAGAAGTGTCCCGTCCTTGTCCAAGAAGTGGACCTGGACTCCGACTTGTGCTACTCCACGGTCCTGACTTCTCGCCGTGAGAATTCCCTCTATCGCCGATGCACGCTCGAATCTCTCGATACGATACAGACGACACATACTGAGAATATGCTCCTATCCAGAGAATAAATTCCTAAGTACGTTCGAAGCCATTGGTACGAATACGAACGAGCAAAAAGATTCGTAGTGTCTGATAATAGGGAACGATGATCTATCCAGAACCAGTGGACAGCAAAGCCATAAAAAAGAGTTTGTTTTATAGAAAACCAATGCACTACATATACAAATTGCAAAGATAATTAAGAAAGTATTTACCAAAAGATGTAATAATACCAGTCACGAGTTTTTTCATTACAAAAATTAGGAGGAATGTTTATAATTTGTACGATACACTAGATGCAACAATCAACTGATTTTTTTAGCTGTGTACGCGCGACTAGAACATGTCGAGACTTGATCATTGTTTACTCTACCCCTGTTATTGTTTATTTCACACTTTAAAGATAGAGCTACTGTCCGGTACTAGCAGGCAAATCAGTTAAAAATACCAAATAGGTAACCTCTTATGAAACGTGTATAAAAAATGAATCTGTTGAGAATAGATATATTTTCAATGTCTAGCATTGCGATTTTTCTCTGCTCGACGTCGACCCAGGTCGGGTCATAAAACCCATAGGTCTGCCGATCATTTGGCGACGCCTATAAAGCCGGGCTTTTTCTCCGTTTGGAGTTAGTTGTGCGACAACCCTGACCGCGGAGAAAGCCTTTCACTTAGTTTTTCGCCTCCGTGTCTTGTAATATCCATTATTATACTTTTCAATAAACCATTTTTTCTTCTGCATGTAAGCGGTTGTGTTCGATCTTTCATAACTATAGATCCTCAACAGAATCGCAGTCTTTCAAAGCCAGAACACCGTAAGATCTGAATCTCGCTCGTGACACGATTCGAAAGAATACCGCGGTGCAAACGATATCGATGCCAATTGACAACTTTATCAATGGCTCGAGGAGACGGTCGACCGATTAACGAGCATCGACGAATTAAATCGGCGAAAAGGACGGATGTAGGCCGACGAGCATAAAGTATGTACGAGGGCGTTCAGGTGAATAAGATCGGCCGACAGTGGGAATCAGAACTATGAGACGTCAGGGAAGTTCGATCAAGATGAAGATTTCCTGATCTGATGCCCGGGACAGAACGGATGTCGCGGGTGGCCGCAGGTGGCGCCCTCGATATAAGCTCTTCTGACTGAACCGCTGATACGGGACCGCTCTCCTAAAACTTTCACGGCGGAATGTGTCATCCTGTCACTGAACCCACATGGGGTACGAGACGTCCCATGGGCCCGTCACGCGTCCTTCAACCGAACTCTTCTCTGTCGGTTCCCCGAGATCCAGCCCTCGAAGATGATCGTCACTACGGTGCCCCGCCATTACGTAATATTAAAAAATTTCCGAGTTGCAACCGAGAATCGATCCAACGTCTTCGCAGCGTTCGCGTAAACAACGAATTCAGCGTTGGGATCAACCCAGTCGCAAGATCGACCCTGATCCAGATGAATTTTGCTCGAATAGTCTTTCAATTTTAAAGAACAGTAGCGTCGAAAAGTGATCTAAGTCGACCAAAAGACTGTCTACATAGTTAGGAGACTCGACAATGACGTATAGCAAATACGAGGCGATTAACAGATAATGTAACTGTCGGAAATTGTACAAGTCGAGTTTAATTTCACGCCACGCCTGTAGCCTGATCGGCTCGATCCTCCGCTAATTACGCTAGGCAACGGGAGTCTGATTACCTTCGATCAGGATTTTATTAGCTACTCAGTTGCAGATCCAGGATCGAACAGATCCAGTCGCGACGAGATCTAAAGCGTTATCGAGCCGATATCCGGCTTCGTCGGTCCACGGTGGATTACGGAGTCGCGTTTCTAATCCTGTCACAATCGGAGCAGGTTCGGCAAGATTCCGGACTCGGCACGGACCACGCGACAAACTTTCACGGCGTAGATCTTGCGGGCCGTAATTAACCCATCAGCCGTCAGAGCTTAATGAAAGCGCAGGACGTCGGTGTCCGGAGACAGGTGGGACACGCGTGTACACGAAGAGAGAGAGAGAGAGAGAGGGAGAGAGAGAGAGGGGGGGAGAGAGAGAAAACCGACCGGTTGCGAGTAAAAAAGGAGTCGGAGAAAAGAGCGCTGGCAGGCGAGCGGAGAATGACGCGTATCCGCGGCGGAGAAACGGAGGCGAGGCCCAGGGTATCCAGGAAGGTGGGTACCGAGATATAATACTCGACTACCTACCCGCTACGATAAGTGTCAACTGCAGCGTGCCAGATAAAAAAGAAGGAACGAAAAATAAAATTTAGCCCCGGTGATCCATCATGAGGCTACGGGCGCCGGACGCGCAGGCCCGGTCAGGATTGGCTGACTCCGCCCAGGAACGTTCACGTGACCAATATCGAGAACACGCCCAGTTCGAGGAAGGCAGCACCTTCTCCGGCTAGGCGTACGTAGAGCATTGCTTTTGCCACAAAGCTCAAGGGGCGAGAGAGACGCGAACCGGAGGAACAGAGACGAAAAGACCTGGACACACCAGACCCCTGCGGCTCGGTCTCACCTGCGTGCAGGCTTCGACCGTGCCGCCTTCTGCCAGTCCACCTAGCCAGTCCACTCCAGCGACCCTCGTCGACCGGATCGACGACTACGCGTCCGCTCTTTCTATTATTTTCGCGAATAACGGTCCGTTCCCGCGTCCACTGCCGCTTCGCGGAGGTGCCTCGGGATCGCTGGCGCCCGCGTCCACAGTAGTTACTCGTCCCACCAGGATCCATCGATCGCGAACCGCCGGTGATGCATTCCACATCCAGAGTGACGTAGTTCGATCCGTACGCCGCGGAACGACTCGCTAGATAAGTGTGTCTGGTCAGTGATATCGTGCGTCGCTTGTCCCGAATCGGCCGTTGGGATCGTCGTGTGCGAGGGTCGATCGGTGGCGGGTCACCGCGATGTAAATCGCGTCCACGTACGCGTCCCTCCTCCTCTGTTCCCGGGAAAACGGTGGTGGTCAACAGCAGCAGGTGGTCAATTGATGTATTCGTCTCACCGCTACGAGGATGATGATGATGGACATGGGCATGTACGGAACCTACGGCAAGCCTGACTCATACCCGAACTACATGTGCACGGGCCAAGGGAATCATCATCATCATCATCATCAGCCCGTATCCGTCGGTGGGCACGTGCCGGTCCCGGCCTCGCCGGAACTCGCACCGGCTCATTATTTCCCTCAGACCGCCGTGTCGCCTTACTCGTCCTCCTCCTCGGAGAGCTTCCTAGCCGCGGAGTCCGCCGCGTCCTCCGGCACGCCGCCCCAAGGATTCTACTCACCGACGGCCGGCGTCTTGCACGAGGACGGTTCCACCACCGCGATCATCTCCTCGGAGAACGGTCTGAGCTACACGAACCTGGACTACGCGTCCTCCTCGTCCTCCTCTTACTCCGGTCAGCCGCAACAGCAACAACACGCGAACGGATCCCACGGCTCGATCGATCCTCACCAGAGTTACCATGTCCAGCAGTCGACGTACAGGGACGATCATCACCACCATCCGATGGTACCCGGCGGACACTCGAGAACGGATCACGAGCAGCAGTTGCATCATCAGTCTTCTAGTCATCACCTCCACCATCACCACCATCACCACGAGCCCGACTATCAGATCCCGGTCGCCGGAACCACCAACTATCTCCACCAGCTACCATCCGCGGAAGATTCCTCCCTCCACTATCACTCTCAGATCCGACAGAACGACTATTCGACCCACGCCACTGGTCACTATAAAGAGGAGAACGCCGATCCGTCGGCCTACCACGTGCTACAACAACCCGGACACCCCCAGCATCCCCATCAGCACGGCCACGGGCACCACCATCAACAGCATCCCCACGGCCATCATCCTCCCCAGCAGCAGCAACAGCAACAGCTACACGTACCCACTTACAAGTGGATGCAGGTGAAGAGGAACGTGCCGAAGCCCGTCGGTACGTAGACGATGATTTATACGTAGTTCCGGGGACCAAGGAAATTAATATTCCGTGAGGGCGATCCGGTAGCCGGTCGTTAAGTTCTGTTTATCCTTTGGCTATTTTAGACCGTACGGACGCGCCTGTCCACTCTCTCGATCGCTATCTACCTGGGAATTAATGGTCGATCGGGACACGTCGAAAAGAGATCCCTTTGTACTCGCGTCGACGAGTCAATCTCGCCCCTTTTTCATCCGTGCTTCCTCCGTAGCTGTCTGCCCTCTCAATTCGACTTAGGTATTTAAATAATAAAATATCGATGCACAGCCGTTGGGTAGTCGGAAAAGAACCTGTTTTCTTACGATCGCCGCGAGTGGAATCGATAGGGAAACGCGACCTTCTTTTTCCCATAAATTTCTGGAGTCGATTGCCGTTGGTCAACGGGGAGTTCTTGGAAGCGCAATTTGTAACGTTTAAGTCGCGACACGACCCAATTGTGGCTCGTTGAGGACACTTTACGCGAGCTCGTCCATAGAGCACGGGCCCCAATCGAACTTCAGTGGTTTTCGCTTGGGTGGTGAATTCAATTAAGATTGACGGACAACTGAAATGTGACGTACGTTGTTGGCCGACGACCTGGTGCCTTTGAAACGCACACCATACGTAACGAGATTAATAAAACGTGACGCGTAATTCCGGTTCGTCGGAGTCATTAATTCTGCACGTGCTTTTCGATCGCGACCCGCGACGGTCGCCGATTAATCCTTTGTTACGCGTTGCTTTGTGCTTTATTTATCGTTATCGATCTGCTCGTCGTAGATAGGACCCGGTTATTTGTAAACATTTTAACCGGGACCCGTACCTTTCACTCCCAGCGATCAAACGATCGGAATCGGCGAACGTTCGCGATCGGTAGAGGGATCGATAAGGGGTCATTATCGAGGCAGAGATCGAATCTCGAGATGTTTGAAAAATTCCTGAAAATCGTAAGGAAAATGGAGAAACGGTAGCAAGGAATAAGTAAATGCTGGGGTCGAGTAATGCCCGGGTACGAAAAAGGCACGACAACCGTTGAACCGAGTACGAATCATTATATACGAGATTCGATACACTCGATGATAAGAGGCTTTTCCTGAGATACGACGAAAATTTATCGGTATTTATACTGTCATCCCCCCCACCCATTCAAGAGTTGTTTAGCTCCTATTTACGCCTATACGACAATCGTAAACGCGACTGATAAGATTATGCACACGAAACCAGTGTAGAGGAAGATACTAGAGGTTTTACGAGAATATCGTACTGGGACGATCATAAATCAACCGCTTGCAAACTGCTCGTCGCCTATCTTTTGCCTACAAACGACTTGATTACCGTAGTAGGATAGGCATACTCGAGACGTTTCAATTCCGACCATCGAGTATGAAGCTTTTGGTCAAATCTTGATGGAGGAAAAATTTTGTAAAAGAATGAAGTTACTCGAGAATTGTGGATACACGGATTAAACCTGATCTTGTCAAAATTATCTGGGAAAATAAACCTCTAATTACTTCGAGTACATCTGTACTAATTATAAAATACAAAGTCTTCTGCTCGCCAATTTAATTAGAAACACCACTTTTATCGTTGGATGTGAAAACTATATTAAAACTCAAGAAAAATTATCGGCTTAAAATATCAAGAGACTTTCTATTCCATATCAGATTGCAAGAAAAGCAGACAAACAAGTTATTATAAAACTAATTAGTAGAAACGTCCAACGTTTCATTAACTTGACAGTGATTCGTAAAATTTCAAGTTTCGGTCTAAAGAACCTAAGATATTTTCTGGTCACGTATCTCTGTATTATAAAAATATAGAAGCAATGCTCGAAACTTTTATTAGCAAAATATCGCGTAAAAGGAGCCTCGGAATTTTTTAACAAAAATACTACGAAAATGTCGATCTCAGATTGTTTACAAATACGAAGATCAACTCGCGGAAAAGTATTATTGCGTACAAACACGATTTATCGCTTACGTTGGATTTAACGATAGTTACGGAGATATTGGTAAGCCCTGATAAGATTCGCGCTTAGGAACGAAATACTTGCACTCGAATTATCAGATTATTTCGGGAGACGCGAGGCGATAAGCGATAGCGCGCCTCTAAGTTTTAATTAAAAAGCGATACACTTTTGCTGAATTTTTGAAAATACTTTATCATTGGATGTCCATTTGTCTGAGAACAAAAAAAGGAATAAGATAAAATGATTTATACCGAATGCGTCGTATTAGCATTGGCTACCGAAGTGGTAGAACGTCTGTAATTTGCGCAAACGCATCTAATTATAAACGTCGAAGCGTAACACATTTCATCCGGTGGGGAACATAAGTTCAGTTGTAAATCCTTAAGACTGTATGAATAAATAAAACACCCTCGTTATCGCGTTCAAATCGCTAAAATTCCGGCGATTTAGATGCGATTTCCGCGCCCGATCGAGTCGCTCGCCGAGACGTAAAAACATTTTTCGCGTCGAACATTTAACGGCACATAATAACCCCGGCAATTTAACGACCATTTACATAAAACGAGAAACTGGAATACGATAGCTTAACGTTGCACCGGTAGAATTTTAATGATTAATCAATATCGATATGTTAATCGAACGCGTATCAACAGGTATGTTTTATAGATTTATTTTACATGCGGCGGGGAACATAATCGAACCAACAACAGGTTCCATGAAAGTTATTATTTATTGTCGCGCACGATCGACGCATAACACGCATAACTAACGTATTGTCCGCGGTCACGACACGCGTAAATAATTGTGCAACGTTTAAAACAATTGCTTGTTCGCTCGTAATTAGAAAAACAGCTGAACTCGGTGGTAACAGGATTTTAAATGTATCGTTTCTGATGTTCGAATTAATCGTTCGATCGGATCGTCGTGGGATCGTTAGGGACGCGATATGAGATACGAGAGGAAAGTATCGTATCGCGAATCGTTGGAAAAGCGGGAAGACAGGCGAGGTTCCCCTAACTCGGTGCTAATTTGCTTAACAGCTACGGGGCTCGAGGCAATCGCCGGGTTCCGAGAGTGACTGTAAAGCCTAGCCGTTGAATGGAGCTTGTCAGGATTACCAGCGTTTCACTTAATAGCTCATTATAATCAAATTAATAATACCAGTCGAGAAGTAACAGAGGGTGACGCTTATTACGCCAGAACATGCAAACGAAAGTGTACCGCCTCCAGACCTAACCTCTTTTCCATCTTGCTGGCTACTTTCCATCTGCGTTTTTTATTCGCATGCAGAAACGGAATGAGCCCGGACACTCATCGCCAACGCGAATAGCCGTAATTCGCGGTTACGATTCATTTTTCGTATTATCGATGTATCGAGACCGCTCGAGAGGCTCTTTTTCCCCCCGATTACAATAAGATCCCCTCGAACCGATCAACCGATCGACTAAATCTGAAGCAACAACGAGCAATTTGTATTTTAATCGCCAGAGAACGTTACACGTTCATAGATATGGCTGTAAAAGATAGTCGAAAGGAGGATTTCAATGTACGGCAACTTTACAAATTTATTTCTCGTGTCCGCGTCGTAGGAATCAGCCGCGGGGGTTGATACAATCGAAATAACAAGATGGGCGGAGCAGAGAAGTGGGGAGATTTCGGTAGATTTCGGTTGGTGAAGTTTTTTGGTTGGCCAGGATCTCACAATAGGTCTGCTTTTTCCCTCCGTGGCTCCATAATGTGTTCCAGGGGGTCCAGAATAGAGGGTCTCTATGGGGACGCCCGACGCGGACCACCCTTCACGGGGTCAGGGAAACTGGGAGAAAAAGGGAGGGGATGAAGGGCGAGAGAAGGAAACGGAGGAGAGACGAGCGTCGCGGCGCTGTCAGCCCTCCCGATTTATCATACGAGACTCGATTTCTTCTCCCTATAATCAATAGCGAGATTGGCGATACAGCGTAGGAGAGAAAAAAGGGCGGAACAAACAAGCGACCCTTCGTACGAAGCAATTCGTAATTCCACGCATTCACGACGCCCTGATGGAAATGGAGAAGTGTCATTCACTCGATTCGCGACGTATGCATATTTTCTTTATACCGGTACCGATCGTTATATTCGTTATATTCATCCCTGCGTTTGATACTGTTTGAACTTACCGGCGCGTTTAGCGTGAATTAAGTATCACGCGAAGGCGTACGAGCCCAGTTACGGCCAAGTTATGCCCGTCGACCTCGCGGACGTGTTTGTGCCATTTCACCAGTTTTACGGCATATTTCACGTTACTTATGAATAGAACAAGCAACCGCCTCGATTGCACGCTTTTCGTTCGTCCACGAGCGTCGGTCGTTTCGCGTTCGATCGCGTACACCCGCTTGGGCTCTTGCTTTACGACGTCGCGTCACGTATCGCAGCCAACCTCCAACTTGGCTTTGTCAATCGCACGGATTTTTTATAAAAAAAATCAGCCCGAGTGCTGTGCATCGCGACCGCGAATTTCGAGGGGGGCTCAAGGTGTAGTTTGAGCTCGTCTCTGGCCGTTTCGACGTTTCTAGCGAGGGGATGTACTTGATAATACGGTCCTCATTGTTATCAAGTATTCGCAATAATTAGTATCGAGAATATTATTGGAAAATAAAAGGCAGCCTTGCTGGATTGTCTGTATTGCCTTATCGAATTATTTTTGCCCGCGGATCATTGTTTCGTGCACTATTTATTAGTGCTGCATTCGTTACTATTATTCCTGTTCTATGAGTTTCAAAGATACAGCACTCGTTTGACTCAAACAGTAAAAAGTTAGGAATTGTTAAAAAATAAAAAACAGCCTCGCTGGATTGTCTGGATCGTCTTGATATTAGGGGTTAATACCGATCAGTACTCTGAACATTCTGTCAAACAGGATATAGAAGCGATTGAAACAGTGAAATGTAATACAAAATTGATTGCAAAAATATCGAATTATTTTCGTCTGTGAATCACTGTTTGATACTAGAAGATACAGCACGATCAATTACAG